AATAAATTTTTTATATTTTAATAAATAGGGAGAAGAACCCACTCATAATCGGATAGTGCCGCTCCTAACGCTCGGCGGCGCTGGGCCTAGCGACTGCGGCGCGTGCGGTAAGGAGAGGAAAGGAGGCGTATACCACGGAAATCGGCTGAAATGTTCAGACTAATTCCGAGCACTGCTGTATAGAGTAAAAATTACTGATATTCTGTTGTCTTAAAACGATGTAAATAATCTAAACTTCTTGGCTTGCGAGAAAACTCTTTTGGACAGTACTCAGCAAGAATGATCAGACGACCTGAAATTCGTAATATTACATGTGGCGATAATTTTTTGGGCTGAAATTTCTGTTCTATTAATGCTTCAAAATATCTTCTTTACAACTCCCAAACACACCAAGTGCATGTAATCGTGGGGTGTTTGACTTACTGGTCCTAAGGATAAACTATCCAATGCAGATTTACCGCGATGGTGCTCGGAATTTTTAAGTTGTCGAAAATCGTTGTCACTTCTTGCTGGATAATTTTTCCTTTGAAAATGACTGATGAATCAGTTGTATCTTTTGCAAGGTATTTTGCATTTATTACAACTGTTGAAACCCGTATGTCCAACAATATTTAAGCAATCAATCCTTGCGGGTGTGTCAGCTATGAAACACCTTATTTTTATCTTAATTTTTTGTTTTTATAACATATTCCTTGCCTAATAATATTGTTGCGCCCGTACTATTTCGCCGCTGATGCTGTGTGTGTTACAGCTGACGGACCGATCGATAATATCGGTCATTAGAGAGTTGAAGCCAAATGGCATTTATTAATAATCTTTCTTATATTCGTTGTCAAGACAACGAATATTGATTAACAGTTTAAAGGGTCTCTATGACAGTTATAAACAAACTGTCATATGTCAGATCTGAGATAGCTGTCTGCTCGGGCGGACGTATACGACAGCTCCGGTCTTTAAATCTTATTTTCGGTTATTTATTGTATGAGTTACTGTTGAGTTACTGTTCTTATTAAAGTGTTCTCTGTTTATTCGAAGTGTTGTGTTGTGTTGCTTGATTTCGTGAGTTTCGTTGTCGTGCGTGAAATACCGGTTCGCGGACGCAACATTTTGGGGGCTCGTCCGGGATTTTGTGCGACATGACGACAAGATCGGAACACGATATGATAGTTGAAGGAGCGTCACGAAAGAGACCACGGCTTCGAGAAACGACTCCGCTTTATCTGGTGGGAGAAACATCATCCACGGAAGCGACGGCGCTTCAAATCGCGGACGCAACAATATCTAATAATTCTTCATTAAAATCTTTAAAAAAATCTGCAAAATCAGCAGGTTTCTTTTTTCCTGCGTATAATTCCGCAATCATAGGACTTCTATCGGGAATATTAGAAATTCTAAATTGTATAGGATAAATATCGTACTGAACATTTTTGTATATATTAGCTCCATCAGTACTGAAGTCAAAACAAGATTGTTGATGGTATATCTGTATCTGCAGTTTTCGAAAGCATATTCAAAATATTAGGCTTAATTCCAATATGAATATACTCCCCGGGATTTACGGTTCGAGGTACTATACGATGTCGTGGAGTTTTCAATAAACTTCTGGCATCCTTAGGCAGTCTGGCAAGGCATTTATGTTGGCGCAAAACAGATAGAATTGAATTAATTTGCACATGGTTTATGTTGGTACGAGAACATGAATCTGCTAATTTTTCAATAAAAGTCAATTCTTTTTCTGGCCTAGCAATAATATTTTTTTTCTCAATGGAAGAATCATTCCTGTCGCTGTTACTATCACTGTAATTATCGGTGTCAGTCATATTTGAATCAGATGATGATGAAGTATAATAACTGTGATTGTAAGAATGTTTATCATTATCGTCAACTGTATTCATCGATTTATTAGCTTCAAATAAGTATTCATCTACCGCGATATTGGTTATTGTTTTGCTTTTATTGTTTTTAGAAATCACAACTGCATGTTCATGATTTATACGATCTTGCGATGAATGGTCATTATTGGAATTACTGTTAGTAATAATATTCATTTTAGCAGTCTTGATTTGCATTTGACGACGTCGACATTTTTGTCGTTCAGACAAATTATCTGTCTTTTTTTATTTTGTAGACAAACACTTTCTTATTCATTATTCACTGTTTTACCAATTCACTTTCTCATTTGCAAAGACACGTTCTACTCTCAGCTTTGCGTAAACCAGACTGAAACAACTGCGCATTTACTTTGATAATTTCGTAAAATTTTCCGAAAATATATTACTTATATGCAATTATAGGACTCTCGTAGTACGCTCTTCATATTTATCTACCGTATACTGTTAAATGCATGTACAATATTTTAATTAATTTATTATCTTACCTTATGCAGATTCTTTTCTGCTATAACAATATACTGTAAATCTCATTACATTCTATCTTTCCCCGAATGTAATTGGTTTGAAGCATTATTGTATTAATCGGTTATAATATGCTACTAATTTTATTTAAGAAATACTGTTGAATATCAGTATACCATCTTTACTTTTTTATAATATACTTTACCGGGCAAATTATATTCTACCACAACATTCTAAAAGTCTAATTTCATTGCCTATACATTTTCCCGAAAGTATTTGATTGATTGTGTTATGATAGACTCTTCTAATACATCTTACATATCAGTTATATTAGCACGTTTTAAGCATGTTTATGGTAGTCACTACTTATATAGCTACCAATGTAATGTAAGTTTTCTTCTATTGTAATGTATTATACTTCAATTATTTAATGTCTACCATTTCACGTAAGAATACGTAAGATATCAGTGAAGCATAATATACTTATAATTTTTTCTACCTATCACTAAAGATGGAATACTACAAAATAACCAATAATAGCTTATTGCTAAGTCTACTAGATAGTCGGAAAATATGAAACATGTTGTTTTCATTAATAGTAAATCTAAATAAAACTTGCAATTAAATATATATTATCTCGATATTGTTAACTACTAAGTTAGTTTATCCTACCTGTGCTATCTGGGAATATAACCAACATAAAGAATTAACCAAATTATTTCTTTTTAATTTTTATTATATTTTTATTTAATTCTATACATTTGAAATATATCTCATGTAAATATAATAACAGCAACAATATTATTCCTATAATTAAATAATTTTAAACCACAGTTTGAATTTTAATTTAAAATATTTCCACCATCCTCCACCTCAAAAGATTGCATAACATTTCGTTTACAGTAAAAAATGTTAAATTCTTTATTTAAACAAGAAACTAACGAACAGTGACTGAATGAACGAATTGTAAATAATACAACATCTATCTTGCTGTGATCGTTGTTAGTTTCATAAACCATTCGACTAACAAGTCAAACTCCATACCTGTTAGCGAAAAAAATGCATTTCCGTTACGACTGCTTAAGCCTCATTTAGAAATATAATAATTTCGGGTAAGAACATGTCAATGATATATTTTATGCAAATGTACTAATAATAATAAATAGAATTAATATAGTACATAAAATCTCACATGCAAATATTTATCAAAATAACAAAATATTTAAAAAGAATTTTTTTAATTAGGCTCAGTTTTTCAATTAAAACTTTAAAATGGTGATACACGCTTATTTATTGAGCCTTAGCTTGTTCTAGGTGCTATTTATTAATATATTTTACATGTGTTTGTCGTATATCTTACATCTAATTGTCGAACGTTTCGGCACCTTTTTTTGGGCCTTCTTCAGCGAATCTAATTTTTGTTGCGTCTCTTAGTCAAAATTTAACTGGTTGTTTTTTTTTTTTTTGGTTGTTAGGTTCTTCTTTTTGTCCTATTTTTTACGAACTTTTTGTCCACCCCTTGCTTTTTCCTCGTGTGTCAGACATGGCAACTTAATTCTTCTGACTGTCTGGATTGATTTTTATTGTGACTTGTTACTTTTGGTGTTGTTCGTTTCATACTGAGTCCCTTAATAATGTTATTCACTGATTGTAAATGAAATTCTGAAACAAGAAGTTCTGAATTTTCATCGCAGCCTATATCTTCGCTCAAAGCAACGATCATTATGGATGTTATTAAATTTTTAATATCTTGAACATTATCCATCTTGTAAATATGACCAATACTGCGTAAATAAAACTGTCGGACTTTCGTCACTTTACCGCGAAGACAATCCCATCTTGCTACAGCGCCAATAAAATGGCTAACATCAAGTCTAATATAGCAAGTTGGCAATTTCTCATTTTTCTCTAAAATGATTATATTGTACAATGTTTGCAGATAAGCACGTGTATCCGCGCAATTTGCAAACGTTTTTGAAACAGCCACAAGAAGAGCCTTGCCAAAATCGGTGACTATCATTCGCGGTAAGGGTGCACCATCCGCCAAAATTGAATAAAAAAAAAATAGTAATTGTTGCAGCGTCTTGT